TTTGAGACAGGGTCTCCCTCTGTCATCTAGGCTGGAGTACAGTAGCATGAGGTCATCTCACTCCAGCCTCCGCCTCCTGGGTTCAAGCGATTTTTGTGCCTCAGCCTCCCGAGTAGCCGGGATTACAGGTGTGCAACACCATGCCTGGCTAATTTTTGTATTTTCAGTAGAGACGGGGTTTCGCCATGTTGGCCAGGCTGGTTTCTGATTCCTGACCTCAAGTCATCCACCCACCTTGGCCTCCCAAAGTGCTAGGATTACAGGTGTTGAGCCACCATGTCCTGCTGTCAGTTTTCTGAAAGGATAAAGTGTTAGATCTGGGATCTTAAGTTATTTTGTGGCTATCCCAACACTGAGTTTTTCAGAACTTACTCTTTTTTGTTTTTTTCATGTCAGACTGGCATCCATAACAAGGTTTGAGGGAGGCATACCTCACACATGAGCTTGAAACCTCAGTTATCATGCTTATGACATACAAAATGATCTAATATATTTTATTCTTTAAGTTGTACTCTCCCAAATGAAGTATTCATTTTCCAGGGTGCAATCATCCTACTCCAAACCTCACCTGGATATCCTAATTCCCATTCCTTTCTTTATCAACGTGGCATCCTCAGCTTCAGTACTTGGTTTTTACTCAGTCTGTTCCTACTCTTCTCCTAGAATCCTCTCCTTTGCTTTGGGAGCCCAGAACTAGAAGACAGGGTAAAGATGGGGACTAATTTTACATCTTTTAATTTGAGGAAACCAAAGTACCTAGGAACCTGGGGCTCTCTCTTCCTTTGCTGACTTGGTGCCAGGCTCCAGAAGCCAAAGCCAGGTTATGCCGTGGCCACTGAATCAAGTCATCCTCTGGATCTAGGTGGCTTTCTAACATGTTCCACCTACATGTTCTTGCCTTCTGCTTATTTTCAGAGTGAGCATAGACTGTGCAGAACTTGGGGCTCACTTTCCACCACTGATACCCTTGGAGAAAAAAAATAGTATGGGATGAATGGGTGGAATTTAGGAGCAGAGATGGGATTGGAATATGAAGTTGGGGACAGCTAGTTTTGGAAACTAGTTGAAAGAAAAAGATCCTGGAAGCATAAGGGTTGAGTGACATTTAGTTGAACTGCTAGAGTGATGTGAGAGATTACTCCATTCTGAGCTTTGCGTTTCTGCCTTCGAAGTCATGGTAGCTGGAAAAACTAGGGTAATATTGCTATTCACCCTGGGGCCATCCCCTCATGGTCCAGGAGAATTGGATTACAGCCACAGGCATAGCCTTTGTGAATGTATCTAGGAGTAGGAATCTCTTTACTAAAGCAGTAGGTTAGTGATTCTCATCTCTATCTCTTTCCCACTGCCTTCTGTCAGCTTAACTCCTGCCTTGGTAAACTACTTCTAAGACTTGGAGATAGACATTTTGGGTAGAATTGGATAAAGTCAACTGAAGAGGCTGGTCAGAATAGTTCTAGAAATCCAGACGACCCTTATAAAGGCAAAAAGAAGAGGGAAGGGATAAAATATTAGTGGTTGTGGGAGGGGGGAGGACACTTGAGCACGAGCTAAGGGAAAAACCCAAAAGGGAAGAGGGATGCTGGCAAGTAGAAGTAAAAGTGCCTCAGAAGACTTGAAAGGAGAACAGAAGGAGTGGGTATTATATCTGAATGAATATGTTCATAACTTAGGTTCATTTTTAGAAAGGAAAATCTGAATGAAGAATAGGAAAAAAAAAAACATTTCTGGAGAAGAGAATGTCAGAGAAAGAGAAAGCATAGGTAAAAAAGAGGCCAGGAAGTACAGTACTAATTAAGGCTTTGGGCAGTAGTAAGGCTCTAAGAAAGAGCTGGGCCTCTGTAGCAGGACATATCCCTAAAGAAGAGAGAGGTGGCTTGTATGAAGAACGAAATGCAGGCTTAGATTTTCCCATTGTGACGAAATAGCATTCTGGTAAGTGTTCATGATTGATTAACTCTGTGAGGTGGGAGCTATGCATTTGCAAAGGCATTTTTGGTGTTTTTTTCTCCTAAACTTAGCCTTTATCCCTAGCAGCAAAGCTCATGAATAATTCTTGTGTATTAGTCTTTTGAAACCTCTAATTTTTTTTATTTTTGTTTTTTATTTGAGTTAGGGCCTTGCTCTGTTGCCTGAGCTGTGTGGAATGCAGTGGTGTGATTACAACTCAACCTCCCAGGCTCAAGTGATCCTCTCATCTCAGCCTCCTAAATAGCTGGGACTACAGACACAAGCCATTGTACCCTGCTAATTTTTAAATTTTTGCAGAGATGAGGTCTCCCTGTGTTGTCTAGGGCTCTCTAATTTTTTTAAAAACATCTTTATTGAGGTGAAATTGATATATAGCAAAGTAGACGTATTTAAAGTGTGCCATTTGTTAAGTTTTGATATATATTTAACTGAAACCATCACTACAATCCAAGGAATGAACATTCTATCACTTCCCAAAGTCCTCCATCAACCACTAATCTTTCTGTCATTATACATTAAATCATCCTTCCTGATTTTCGCTAGAAATGAAAAGGCAGTTCAA